AAATGTGAATGTCTGGTCCATTTAAACAAACGTCAAAGCAAAATCCTTTCTCATCTCCTAATGACCAATGAGGAATAAGGAATAGACAAATATAATACAAGAAAAACATATCAATTATGTTCGTTAAATAAAAAGATTCGAATCATGTCATCGAAAAAGATTGAAGCTGAACCTAGTATATAAATAACCCAAACCAAGAACGAGGGAGCATATATTTCCTCTCTTTATTGAAATTAAAACAACTTTCTGATATATATGCTGCTTTTATTTGTGTTAACTTATAGCGGTGGTTAAGATGTTCTTTATATCCTTAGAAGTTTTAAATTCCTCCTTTTTAGCAGAATTTCCGTATAATAGAGTTGAAGATGGCGAAACACACGATTTTAAAACATTAGCTTAACGTCTTTACAAAATATTCGTAAAATAATTCATCAAATCTATTGGTAAAAAGAGTACAAAATTTGATGTTTTGTCATCTTATGCTTAAGGTCGGGTTGCGTTAGTGGATGTGCGAAAGGGTTTAAATAAGTTCATGTACTATTTATGGTTAGAAGGAACCATGTGTCTAAAATTGTTAAGTTCGTGGTTATCATCATTTAAGGACAAAGAATACAATTGAATCAAACCTAGCTAATTAATAATAAGTTCTACACTCATGGTATTGGTTTTCAATTAAAAAACTATATCACTTTTCTAATCAGTCTAAGGTTCCAACTCTCTATTAGCTGTTGTGATTAATCTATACTAGAATTAATTAATATTCATATTTATTTTTTTGGGTCCACTTTCGTGTTCTTTTTTTCGGGTAGTAATTCCTTCAAACACTAAGTGATATGATTTGGCCTTTTTCTGTTTCAGATCCAATTCTAATAAATTTCCATTCAAGCAAATCGTCTATTTAGATACAATCATATAATTAACAACTTGAATCACATCTATCTCACCCATTAATAATCTAAAAGCAAGTTAGCTATTGGCTTAGTTAAGCTTCACGCACTTAAGTGGGATTAATATTTTCTGTGGAATTGACTCACCAAATCATGTCCGAACTGCGTTGATGATGATGAATTCACAATCTTCTAAAAGCCTGGTCGATCTGAAAAACAGTATCATAGCTTTTAAATTTTATCAAAGTGCAAAGTTAATTGGGCAGTGTCAAAGTTTGATGTCATTAAGAAATGGATTTCTAGAAGGCACGCCAAAATATATATGTGTCGTATATTAAACAATTAGATCCGAAAGACAAATGGTTCAATTTAAATACTCTCGAGTGTCCCCGCAACAATAGCAGAACCTTGATCCTAATCTATGTTGAAAAGACACCCAAAAAGAACAAAAATTACACATCTACAAAATTAGAAAATGTTAAACACAAGAAATCACATGCGATCCTCTTTTTTCACCTTTAGTAATTTAAAAAATCGTTCAAGTGCGCAGACATGCTTAGCTGTTACACAAAGTGTTTTAGTAGTATAAGTATATATATTATGGTTGTTGCTTTATTAAGATGATGAATGATCCGTACCATACACGGATATTACTAGTAATATCTGGTATATGTATGCATTTTAATATGTTATTATTAAATTAAAAGAATGGGAAAGTTATTATTAGACTTGGTGGTGTTCAGGCTTTGCCCCTCACAATATGATCCAAGTAGCAGGTGAAATTATGCTTTGTTTGGTTGTAGTTGTATAGTAGGCATGCATGTAAAAATCCTGTAAAAAATATTTAGAAATTGGAAGTCAGACTAGATTACTTTACTGTGAACGTGAAAAATTGATTTGGGTTAAGTTCAGTTTCTAACACTTCATCAACAATCGGCTCAAGTTCATTGGGAGGCACCTAATGTCCTTTTGAGTTTAAAATACAAAAAAGAATTATGAATGTGGAATAAAGAATAAAGAATGAAGAATAAAGAGCCTTGTTTTCGATAGATGATGAGGAATAAATTAAAGAGCTAATTTGTACGAAATATATCTGTACCAAAATAATTAAAGAGCTAATTAGAAATTTAGAATATATCACACTAACAACAAATCCAATTTTTATTTAGAGAAAAAAAAAAAAAAAAAAACTAATGAACCGTGGGTTCGAGAGCTTAATTTGTTAAACCAGATAATGCTATTTGAACTTTCATTGAAATATATATGGTTTTGTCCTAATATTTGTATTGATCATTCATTATGGGGATTAACTTTGCGAAAAGGTTTTAAAAATCTGATCCTGATCGAGAGAAAAAAAAATGATAGTTATATATATATATATATATATATCCCCATTTTCCTTTCTCTGA